ATCCGACCGGAACTGGAAAAAGTTCCGGCACGAACTTCCGGCCGGAACTGGAACTGATTTACTAAGCCATATATAGTCATATGTTACTTTGTCCGCAGCCAGACAGGCATACACTTCAAGTCATCAAGGAGAGAGCTCGCAAATGTTAGAATTATAAAAAGATTAACAAGCGTTAAACGTCATAATGAAGTGTTAATAGTGTACATTTCCCTTGTGTAGTCCAAATTTCTTCCTACTGTGACCTTTTCTTGGACACAAAAACGTTTGATATTCTATCTCCCTGAAAACGACAGAGTTCCGGTTCCGGCCATGCTTTTTTTACTAGTTCCGGCCGGAACCGGAACTCTAAAAAATCGGAGTTCCGGCCAGAACTAACCGGCCGGAACCGAGTTCCGGTGCACCCCTAGTCCTTTCTTACTCTATATTCACAGAAACTTGTTAATACTGTATATAATTTTAATTGATAAAAATCTGGAAGCAAATTTACAGGCGTTGAGCGACATGGCAATACTCAATAGTTTGCCACTGTTATTGCAGGATGTGGCAGGTGGCAGAATTTTTACAGGCAGCAGAAGGATTTCCTCAATTTAACATGCAGTTCTACACAAAATGTGCAGTTCTAATCCATAAATTGTGTAGTTCTAAAAACACAATTTATGTGCAGTTACCAAGCTAACAAAAATATAACCTTAACCTGTTGAGTTGGAGCGCACCTCATGCCAATGGGCCCCACTTTATTGTCTTAATTATACGTATATTTACCATGTCCAATGCCTGCTGGCCAGTGCTCCATGGGTTTCTAATCTGCCCATGTGTCAAGTTAACCTGTTGAGTTGCAGTGTGCGCCAATGCACCCCACCCTATTATCTTATCATGTCTATAGCATCGGCACTCGATGGGTTAAATGTGTTTGCAGCCCTCAGAAAAGAAGGGGTCAAAATTGAGGTCAGCAAATTGAGGTAAAAAAATTGGCAACATGGGAAGTTGACAGGTTCGCATTTAGGTGTAGATCTCTGGGGTGACATAATTTGTTGCTGTATTGGTGTGAGTTTACTCAAAGTCGTTGGTACTGTATATTCATTTGGCATGAAATTACTAATAAATTACAGTCTTAAAAGCACACAGGATTATCTATTTTGACGTGGATTTTAGTTCCAAAAGTAAAATGTTTTGAAATATTGGTGTGATCATGGCCGAATGCTGTATCTCTGGCAAAATGCTTACATGGGATGCACCCTGGTTAACATAAAATAACAAATTCAGGTAAAATTCCCGGCCCCCCAAGGTTGGAATGCTTTATCAAATTCCCTACTACATGTAAGGTACAGTAGCTGTGAGTGTTCTGGATTGACCAAAGTGGATCTATATAATCCGATGCAAGCTGCAAGCAAATTTAGCCAAAGCCACCAAGCCCTAACAAGACATTAAATACAGGTATGTATTTTAGTCTAGGAGAAATTTGATATGTATGAAGAACATTCCATCATTGGAGATTTGATTTAATTTAATTGATAATAAAATGAAAATTTATAGTTATAAATAATATTTTAAATCTTTAACATTCAATATTTAAAATTACTGTCAGTAATAACAACTGAATAACAAGGCTTGCACAGTACTTTTCCAAATTTTCTGGGGGGGGGGGCATGCCCCCAGACCCGGCCACTAGGAATGTTCATGGTAAATTTAGTTTAATTATGTCAACATGAGCCCCAATAGGCAATAATTCTAGCTTTTATAGTTTATGCATGCAGGGGGTGATGGGAAGTAAGATAGATCAATTGCTGAAAGTGCTGAAAAAATAAAATGGTGGCCGTGTAAACACGGAGTGATGGCTAATACTTGTAAATATTGAAATATTTTGGTTGTTTCGGTAGTTTCTACTGAATTTTTTCAGCATAATCAGCAATGCAAGTATGATACCGTACTTCCCGTCACACCCTGCACGCATAAAGTAAAAGGTGGAATTGCCTATTAATTACATGTAAAAGAACTGCTCAGCATTCCCTGTTTGTGTGTGGACCATGGCTTTGTTTGCTTTTTTGGCCTGGTCAATTCAATCATGATATGGTCATATATGACTGTTCCTGACAGGAAAAAAATTGAGGGGCCAATGTTATGTTCAGTAACTATTAAAGTCGATTTCACGTACTGTAACTTTTGCCAAAATATCCCAAACTTCATTTCAAAGTTTGCAAGTTCATTTCAAAGTTCCAAAGTTTGAAGTCTCCAAGTTCATAAGTTCACAAACTGGTTTGTAAAGTAAGCATCTGATTGGCTTCTTTCAATTCATGGACCAATCAGAGGTCTTGTTTACAAATCGGCTTGTGAATTTCACTGTTGAACTTGTGAACTTGGAAACGAATTTTGCGAACTTCGGAACAAAGTTAAATTAATGGGACATTTTGGCAAAAGTTTTGTGAAATCGACTGTAATTTTAATTGCTTGTCGGTCATGTTCGAGCATCATTCCATCAGTCGTGAAAACTCAAACCCTAGGCAATGTTGTTAACCAACGGATGGCAAATGTGAGTGAGTCCAATTTAAGGTGCAAGATGTGGGAGAGTGGGACAAAGGTGCATTTTAAGTGCAATACACCAAAGAGCTTCATTGTGAATTTGGCAAATTACAATACTATCCATAGTTAATATTGGCGTAACTTCGGCCTAGAGTTTACATGGAATGCACCCTGGGTCGGCTGGACCGGGAGCATGTTTTCGAACTTGCCTGCACCCCCCCCCCCC